GAAACGTAAGAGGAGTGGGTGCAAGAAACATGTGGAGACGAAGGGAGCAAGAAGCGGTTGGGGAGGGGGTTTCTTGATCAAGTGCCATGGCGGCATGGACTGGCACTTGCCGAGATGATGGGGAGGGGCGACACGTCGTGATGGGCGGGATGAGTACAGCAGTCCACGTATGCTGCAGCAAGTTCACTGCATCGGGTGAGGCATGGTCTGATCCCCACCGTGCGCTGGAGACCCAAGTAAGGCGCCGCAAAGGGCTCTGACTGGTCTGCTTTGCAGCAAAACCGTTAAGTGCCCCAAGGTGCTCTAGCCACGTCACATGTTGCCACAGAAGGCTCGAGAAGGCTCACGTGTGAGCCTAACGCCAAGGATACAGAGGGGAGAACAATGTGTGGTGGCGCGAAACCGGGAATATTCGCGTGGGAGAACCATACACCTGTATGTCTAAAAATCAGAGAAACTGGTACACCGAGTATGGAAGATTCAGAGAAATCTTAAAAGTTTGTCTAGTACAATCAGAGTTTTTGAAAGCTGTTGTCTGAAAATTTGGAGAAACCTCTAATAACCAGTCTGAAAATCAAACGATCGGACAAAAAAAGTCTACTATTTAGGACCCTGTGGCACACCGTGCTGACATCCGCGACTGCGCTTCAACTGCGGGATGCTGTGAGTCACTGCTGACATCCCCTCCCAGGGAGCCCTCTGTCAATATATATATTTATATATATGTATATATAGGCTAGGCAGATGCCTTACTCTGACTGGATCTTACTATAGAGGGTACAACACCCTACTTGTACCTCTCTCTCTTGCCTAGTCAATTACCCTTTTTCTCTCGTCAATCTTGCCATTCTCATGGCCTCCTACCTCCTAGCTACCTAGCTTCCTTTAACATGTTAAAGAGCTAGGTTAGGTCCCACCTACTCACGCTTCCGCCCCTAGCCTACCTTAGTATTAGACCACCCCTCCCTTCGAGCGGCCCATCCTTAGAGCGCCCCGCCCTTAGAGCGGCCTGTCCTTAGCATGCCGCGCCGACCCCCTGCTTGTCGTCGGCCCCTGCTAGCCTCGTCGGCCCCTGCTCGCCGCGACGGCCTCTGCTCGCCGCAGCAGCCCCTGCTCGCCGCAACAGCTCCTGCTCGCCGCGCTGGCCTCTGCTCGCCGCGACGGCCCCAGCTCGCCGCGCCTGTAACAGCTCGCCGCCGGCCCCTGCTCGCCACGCCAGCCTGTGCTCGCCGCCAGCTGGCCGCCAGCAGCTCGCTGCTGACTGGCCGCTCGTCAGCTCCTACGCTCGCCGCTCGCCCGGCCGCACCTCCCATCATGCCACCAAATCCCCGCTCCTTGCCAACTCGCCGACAACTGCACCTATCCCCTTGCCATTCGCTAGCCGGCAGCCAGCCGCTCGCCTGCCACCGCCGCCGCTGCCGCTGCCACCCCTACTATGGCTACTACAGCCACCGCCGCCGTCGACGCCACTACAGTAGCCGCCGCCCTGCCACTCCGGCCGCCCCTACAGCCATCGCTGCTTCTCCTCGGTCTCCTGCTGCCCACTACCACTCCCCACTGCCTTTGAACCTGCCTCTGCTGCCTCTGCCACTGCAGCCGCCACTACCGCTGCTCCAGCTGGCTGCCACTCCAGCCGCTGTCGCTACTTCAGCTGCCGCTGCCGCCGCTGCCCTTGCAGCCGCCACTACTGCAGCCGTTGCCGCTGCTGCCCTTGCAGCCGCCGTTGCCGCTGCTGCCGCTACTCCCACCGCTGCCACTGCTGCCGCCACCACTGCCGCTTCTTCAACCGCTGCCGCCACTGCCCTTGCAGCCGCCGCTACTGCAGCCATTGCCGCCGCTGCCCTTGCAGCCGCCGCTGCCACTACTCCCGCCGCTGCCACTGCAGCTGCCACGGCCGCCGCTCCAGCCGCCGCTGCTCCTACTACTACTCCTGCCGCCACTCTAACTGCCGCCACTCCGGCCGCCGCTCCAACCGCCGCTGCTACTACTACTACTACTGCCGCTGCTCCAGCCGCTGCCACTCCGCCTTCAACACCAGCCGCAAATGCTCCTACTACTGCCGCCGCTCCAGCCGCCGCTGCTCCTACTACTACTACTGCCGTCGCTCCAGCCGCTGCCACTCCAGCCGCCGCTCCAGCAGCCGCTGCTCCTACTACTAATCCTGTCGCCGCACTAGCTGCCGCCACTCCGGCCGCCGCTCCAGCCGCCGCTGCTCCTACTACTACTACTGCCGCCACTCTAGCCGCATCCACTCTAGCCGCTGCTCCAGCCGCGGCTGCTCCTACTACTGCCGCCACTCCAGCCGCTGCTCCAGCCGCGGCTGCTCCTACTACTGCCGCCGCTCCAGCCGCTGCTGCTCCCACAGACTGCCGCCGCTCCAGCCGCCGCCACTCCAGCCGCCGTTGCTCCTCCTCTGGCCACTGTTGCCCCTCCAGCCGCCGCTGCTCCTACTACTACTGCCGCCACTACAGCCACCGCCACTCTGGCCGCTGCTCCAGCCGCAGCTGCTCCTACTACTGCCGCCACTCCAGCTGCTGCTCCAGCCGCGGCTGCTCCTACTACTGCCGCCACTCCAGCCGCTGCTGCTCCTACAAACTGCCGCCGCTCCAGCCGCCGCCACTCCAGCTGCCGCTGCTCCTCCTCTGGCCACTGTTGCCACTCCAGCCGCCGCAGCTCCTACTCCGGCCACTGCCGCCTCTCCAGCCGCCGCCACTCCGGTCGCCGATCCAGCCACCACTGCTCCTCCTCCGGCCACTGCCGCCGCTCCAGCCGCCGCCGCCGCCGCAGCTACAGCCGCGGACGTCTGCACCACCTCTCGCCTCTCGTCTTTGGCGCCCCTCCCTCCAGCCTAGGTACCCCAGGCGCCTACGCAGCCTCCCCCGCTGCAGCCGCAGCAGCAGCAGTAGCAGCAGCAGGGGGGTGGGGGTGTTGAACTAAATACGCTAGGTAGGAAGAGAAGACGCCATGAATGGCAAGAGGTTTTAGGCTAGGAGAAAGTTACGAGAGAAAAGATATCGAGATTAGAAGAGAGAGGGATACAAGGAGGGGGTTTTACCCTCTACAGTGGGTTTCAGTAACGCCTACCAAGCCTACAATTTTATATAACCATTATAATTTAACACACCTCCTAGGCTTGGTAGCGGTAAGCCCACTCCCACACGAAACACCCCCAAAACCCTGGCACCCCAATGTGCCGCAGCTGGTGAGTCTTCTACCCTTCGTGCGAAGCGGTGACACACCCCCGGCGGGTGGCAGCAACGGCGTCAACGGCGGCGGTGACGACAGCGGCGGCGGCGGCTTCGAAGACAGCGGCGGCTACGGCGAGGCTCGTGGCACTCGTCACCGTGGCACGACCCGGCGACGACCATGCATTGAGGCAGCAGCTGCGGCTGGAGGAGAGGAAGACACATGGGGGGAAGGGAGTGTGGTCCAGCAACACACCTGTGGCTGGCGTTGGCCTGGCGTACGGGCGTCAGGACTGGCGCCGCCTAAAAAAAAGCGCAGCCCACTACTGCGCGACGATGCCGCCACGTCAGTATGACGACGTCGCGACGGCATGGCGTCGACGATACGGCAGCGCGTCGGGGCTGCGACGGCAGCACGCGGAGCCGCCATGGCAGCTCGGCATGGCCGCCACGGCAGCACGAAAATTACGACAGAAGAGCGAGTACGTGGCGAAAGCGTGGGGAGCAGGCCCGTGAGGGGGAACCTGATCTGATATTTTGTTGAACTAAATACGCTAGGTAGGAAGAGAAGACGCCATGAATGGCGAGAGGTTTTAGGCTAGGAGAAAGTTACGAGAGAAAAGAGATCGAGATTAGAAGAGAGAGGGATACAAGGAGGGGGTTGTACCCTCTACAGTAGGTTTCAGTAATGCCTATCAAGCCTACAATTATATATAACCAATATAATTTAACAAGGGTGATGGTGTTGGGCTTGGGGGTGTTGGGCTTGTGGTGTGCTTAGACTTTTTCTTGCTACTCAAACCAGTGGACAGACTAGTAGTGCTGTCCTGGTCTCTTGCCTCTATGAGTAGCACCTATCATGCCCATGGTGTGTGTCAACATATATATTTATATATATGTATATGTAGGCTAGGCAAATGCCTTACTCTGACTGGATCTTACTGTAGAGGGTACAACACCCTTCTTGTACGTCTCTCTTGTGTAGTCAATTACCCTTTTTCTCTCGTCAATCTCGCCATTCTCATGGCCTCTTACCTCCAAGCTACCTAGCTTCCTTTAACACCCTCTCCACTACGCCATCAAGGGGCAGCATTGGGAGGCAGTAAGGTGGCTGGCGCAGTAGGGGGTAGTGCCTGCAGAGGTGGTGAGGGCACGGACAGTCAAAGGGGCGCTGTTGCATGACTGGCTCATGCAAACGACACTGGGTTTAGTGATAGCAACGTGGAGCATGCGCCACTGAGTCCATGTGTGATGGGTGGGTGACAATGGGGAGGCATGGGGGGGCGACGACGTGAGTGGCGTGGCTGCCTACCCATTGCATAGAGAGCAGTGGAGACTGCGGGGGAGGAAACACCCATAATGATTGTGAAATCCTTGTGTTGAATGTCATAATATCAAGTGCACGGCTGGGTGCAGACGTGTTTGCATAAGAGTGCAAGCGACCAAGTATGACCAAGCGGGGGGGCGGGGACGTGCACAACTCGCTGCAGCCATGCTTTTCGGCTAGTGTTGGACCAAGGGAGTGTGTTTGTTTGGCCAAGGGACTAGACCGTTGCATATCACTATCCATTCCTGTTTGTTTGTTTGTGTGTTTGTCACTACCAATCTGTTCTAGAGTGTTTATAAGTTCATTACATGTAAAATTTTCTACCTCCTGTTTGTAGACCGTGCTCCTTAGGGCAAAGCATTTGTGAATGCAAATTTGCCACCTATAGCACTAGGATGTATGGACTGTACTGACGCCAGCGTAGTAAGTTTCTTCGGCAACAGCTCCTGAAACAGTAATGCTAATCTTTCAAACAAGTCGGCTGGAAACATGTACGAAAAGGATACAAAGAATGACCTTGTCAGTAAAATTCGTACGGAGTAAAATCAGTAGTCTGCGATGCGGAGACCCTTCGAGGAGTCCCACAATGTCTCGTCACCTTTCGACGCGAAACCGTGTGTTCAGCGGAAGAAGAAGCGAAGGAAGGGCGCGGGCCATTTCCCGGGTCTGGACGGTCGCGATGACGGCGACGCAATGCAGGCGCAAGATCGACTGGGGGAAGGCGGCGGAGATCGGCGGAAGCAGCGGCGGAGCAGCGCACGGGGGAGCGACGCGGAAGACGGTGAAGGCGGGGGCGATCGGCGGAAGCAGTGGAAGGGCCACGCGGATGGCGGGGATGTGCGGCAGTTCCCTCTAGGGACGGGGGAGGGATGCGCTGATGGGGGGAAGCGGCGGAGGAAGTGGCAGGGCGGCGGGGAGGGGCGCTTGGCAGGCGGAAATCAGTCTGATTGGGATCCGCGCACTGTGAGAGCCGCGGGGGACGACCATGCGCGGACGGCTGGTGCGCGCGCGGAAGAGGAGTGCGCTTTCCAAGAGGGGCGGAAGGACCCGCGGAACGACTGTGACTGTAGCTCGGCGGGGAGAGCGGTGGGTGTGGCGGGGGGGGTTGAGTGCAGGAGTGGGCGTGGGTGGGGGTGGTGTGCGGAGTCGTCAATGGCAGCACTTGAAGAGACATTCGGCCGAAAGGCGTGCGCTGCCTTGCACCCTACTGCTCTGGCTGGCCTGCTGTCAGGTGGGCTGGTAGTGTGGCATTGCATGCTCCCATGGCTCACTGATGATGGTGATGTGCATGCATGGTGACGTGCATGCATGGTGACGTGCATGCATGGTGACGTGCATGCATGGTGACGTGCATGCATGGTGACGTGCATGCATGGTGACGTGCATACATGGTGACGTGCATGCATGGTGACGTGCATGCATGGTGACGTGCATACATGGTGACGTGCATGCATGGTGACGTGCATGCATGGTGACGTGCATGCATGGTGACGTGCATGCATGGTGACGTGCATGCATGGTGACGTGCATGCATGGTGACGTGCATGCATGGTGACGTGCATGCATGGTGACGTGCATGCATGGTGACGTGCATGCATGGTGACGTGCATGCATGGTGACGTGCATGCATGGTGACGTGCATACATGGTGACGTGCATGCATGGTGACGTGCATCATGTCACCATGCCATGCACCAGGAGTGCGTGCCCCACACCGTGCCGAACGTCCAGTAAGGGCGTTTCATGAGCATTACTGGCACAGACAACGCGGAATGACACGGGGTTGACATCGCAGTACTGTTACAGACGAGGCCAGCCCAAGAACCCATAGATTTCATGGCACAAAACCAGTTCCTCCGTAGGCGAACGCACTAACTCTTTGACGCGAGAAAAGAGGACTGCCAGATTTTTCACGTTCTCGCCACGTCCTGTTGCACGTCATGTTGCACGTCATGTTGCACGTCCTGTTGCACGCACTGTTGCATGCAGTGCTGCACGCACTGTTGCACGCACTGTTGCACGCACTGTTGCACGCACTGTTGCACACACTGCTGCACGCACTGCTGCACGCACTGCTGCACGCACTGCTGCACGCACTGCTGCACGCACTGCTGCACGCACTGCTGCACGCACTGCTGCACGCACTGCCGCACGCACTGCTGCACGCACTGCCGCACGCACTGCTGCACGCACTGCTGCACGCACTGTGCACAACGAACCCCATGGGTTTTGTTCCCAAAAAACAAGATTAGCGTGGCTACAAGCTGATTTGGGTAACTGGATGGCCTGGCGAATTGAATATGAAAGCTTATGACACGCCCCAAGGCCGGCTCCCTGGCATCCATGTATGGCTGGCAGGAGGTCAGCATTCAGCACTGAATTCCCTTGGCCATGCTCCCTCCAGCCTCTCTCCTCACCCGCGCCGTGCGCTCCATCCACGGCTGGAAGCATGTCCGCCTGGTGCTGCTCGCCATCCGCTCACATGCTACTCGCGCCATAACAGCAGCGCCTCTGTCTGCGCCGCCTCTCACGCCCTCTCTCCCACCGTGCAGGAGCGGACATGCTGATAACGGTGGACGCCATCTACAAGAGAGCGCTCGCCTTCATGGTGGGCCGTCCACCCCCTTCCCAACACGCCGAGTTTTCCTTCACCGTCTTCCTTTCTTTCTTGCGATATGGCGTCGCCACAGTCTCTTGCACATTCGTCCCCTTCTTCATCACCTGTTCCCCCCTCTTCCTCATCGGACTCCCCTCTTCTCTCCAAACCCCCTGCCTCCACCCGGTCTCACGCCCCCCTTACACTGCCCAGCTGCCAACGCTCCACACCATTCTGCACCGCACCAATGCTCCTCCTGTCCACTCCACGCATCACTCCACCAGCGCCCCTCCCAGCCCCCTTATGGAGATGCGCCCTGCTGCAGCCCCCGGTCATCTCCCCAACGCCACCAGCACTGCCGCACCCCTCAGTGAGGAGGTCGGCACGCCCGTGGAGCTGCTGGTGCTCTGCCGCATGCCAACTGTCAGCCTCACACTGGCCGCCTGTCTCTCTGACCTATTGCAGCAGGCGCAGCGGTGCGAAAAAGGGGGAAAGGGGCGCGGAGCAGGGAGCAGTGGGAAGGGTGGGAGTGGTGGTGGGTACGGTGGGGGTGGTGGGAGCGGTGGGGGTGGTGCAAGGAAGGGTGTGTGCGAGGGTAAGGGGGGTGGGGCAGCAGCAACGAGGAAGGCAGTGGGGTGCTTGGCAGGGCTGGGAGAGGAAGCGGGAGAAGAGGGGGATCATGGAGAGAAGCGATTGGGGGAAGAGCGGGTGGGTGAAGGGGAGGGGCGAGTGGGTGAAGGGGAGGGGCGAGTGGGGATGGTGAAACTGCTTCACTTCAGATCGGTGGAGGAGATTAGTGGCAAGCTTAGAAGATGGCCCTCCCAGGTGCCCCCTCCCCTGCTGCTCCCACTGCCAAGTCTCAGGTGCCTTCTGCTGCTCTCAGTCTCAGGTGCATTCTGCTGTTCCCAGTCTCAGGTGCCTACTGTTCTTTTGGGTACATGCTTTTTTGCTCATGTCGCTTCTGCTGCTGTCAAATGAATGCTGCTGTCAAATGAATGCTGCTGTGCTGTGGTGTTGGCAATAAGTTTTGCTTTCAATTTCGCTGGAACTCTGTATCTGCCTCCTTTCCCCCGATCTTTTCCTCACCTCCTCCCTCCAACTACCCCCCTTCCCCCTCTTCCAATGCCCTGTGAGTCAACGGCAGGTGGTGGTCGTGAATCCGGACATGCTAGCTCGCATGGTGACGCACAAGTCGTTCATGAGGAGGAAGCTTCAACACCTCAAGGCAAGTGCCGCCCTGCCAGCTGCGCTGCGCTGCCGCTTGGTGTTGGGTTCTCTAAAAAGGGACCAGAAATTCGAGTCACGCAACATTCCTTCCTCTGCCTCGTCACCCAGTCCTCCGGTCCTCTCTTGCTCAACTTCTCCTCTCCTCTCTGGCCGACTCTCTCCACTCCATCACTTCTCCCTCCGTCGGCCACCACTACCACCATCAGCCCCTCTCGACACCGATCACCTTGCCTAGAAATCCCTATGACTGAATCACCCCATCATTCACCCCATCTTGCACCCATCCAAACTCTCCCCTTCTCCACGCCCTTCTCTCCACTATCTCTGGCCCTAATTTCGCCCTGCTCTCACCTTCTCACTCCCTCACATTGCATCTCACCGCCACACCCCCACCAGCTGCTGGTTGTTGTCTCGCCCTACATGAACATCCCGCACGCCATTCTCGCGCCCATCCTCTCGCTGCTGCCGAGCAACCACCGAACCCTCCTCATCTGCTCTGCCGTCAACGACCAGGCATGCCACCTGATTTGCTGCATGCATTTGTTCTTCTCATGGAAACCTCATCTCTCATTTCGCCGAGCTTTTGTTCGACCTCGCTCCTGCCAGGTAAAAACAGTGAGGAGGTTAAGAGAAACGCGACAGTGGGTTGTGATACATGCAACAGTGGCAGATGGAATCGTAGTCGAGGGTCCTAATGCCAAGCTTAGGCAAACCACAGTACTCTTCCTTGGGCCCCCACCCTCTCCCGCGAATCGTGGCTTGCAGATTCACCGTCTGGCTCAGCGTGTGCTTAAAGAGGGGTATCAAACCGCTGAGCTTGCTACTGGTATATGCCACATGGAGAAGGCATGCCAGGTGCGCAGTGCAGGCCGGAGTGTCGCGCTTGCTGGGGGTGGCAGTGATGGTTATAACAGTGGTGAAGCTGGTCGTGATGTGGAGGCAACAGAAGCAGACGGCACAACTGACATTGCAGGAAGGGCAAGTGCGAGGGGGAGGGAACCTACGGCCTTCAATCCCCCTCTCAAAGCTGCTGGCCGCTCCATCCCAGCCACCACACCACCCGCCACCATCCCACCTCCACCCTCCACCGTCCCACCTGAGTCCCTGGACGCCCTCATTGCATCCTTTGGTCTGCACCGCTGCGCCTCCGTGCTGCCTGCTGCCCTCGGCCCCATCCTTGCAGGTGAGCTGCTTGCTTCCATGTTCCCACTTACCACACAGTTTTTTTGTTTTTCTTTCTGATGTTTTCTTTTTTTATGGCAGATTTATGCGTTTTTTACGGCCGTTCTAATGCTTTGTATGGTGTGGCACAAGAGATCCAGGCGCCCAATTTGTTTCTTCTTTCCTGTTCCTGAAGGCAAAGGCTTGCATTTAGGATCCCAATTTGTTTCTGATCTCCTGTTTTTGCCCCTCTTGCCAATCTTCTTGCGACTTCTCCAGGCATGGACCTCATGGCAACGACCCCTCTCTCCACCGGCAACATCACTTGCAAGTTCCTGGTGAAAATCCCTTCTCACCTCTCACCTATCCACCTCTGTTCAGCTCTCATCTCTCACCCCACACCTCCTCTCCTCTCCACCTCTTGTCCTTCTCGTTCTACTACAGACCACACGCTCTTCCCACTTCCCACCCCCTGAACCGCATTCTCTACTTCCAATCTCTCACATTTCGCCACCTCATCCACTCACCAGGCACCATCGCTGTACTGCCTCCCCCCCACGCCTCACTTCCTGCTCTTCCCTTTCACTGGTGCTCTCGTAGACCCACCGGTACTGTGCACTCTCCCAAAACATGCTGGTGCGCCATGCCCCGCCTCTAACTCTCCCACCCCTCCACGTCCCCCTCCTACCAGCTACCAGCGCTACAAACCCTGTCCCCCCCGCTCCCCGCACCCCTCTTCCTGCCACCGGAGCACCCTTAGAATTGCTCGTGCTGTACTCTGCTGGAGGGCTTTCAAGGCCTGCCTTTCCCATTGGCCACCCTCCCTTCTGCCTCACCCACCCGCCCACCAGCTGCCAGCCCTGCAAGCCCTCTCTCCCCCTGCTCCCCGCACCGCTCTCCCTGCCACGGGGGCACCTGTCAAGCTGCTTGTGCTGTGCTCAGCTGCGGGGCTTGTGAGGCAGATTGCTGGGGAGATGGCGATGCTGGTGGGGGAGATGCAGGAGGGATCAAGGGGAGAGAAGGGTGTGGCGAGGGAGGAAGAGAGGGCAGTGGAGAGGGTGGGAGGAGGGAGTGAGGGGGGCCGTGTGGCAACAGTGTTGAAGAAGGATTGCGATCTGACGGTGGAGAGGGAACGACTGCACCCGTGCCAGGTGGGTGGGCCGTGGGTGGCATGGGTATGACGTGGTGCGGCATGGGATGTGGTGCGGCATGGGTGTGATGTGGTGCGGCATGGGTGTGACGTGGTGCGGCATGGGAGTGATGTGGTGCGGCATGGGTGTGATGTGGTGCGGCATGGGAGTGATGTGGTGCGGCATGGGTGTGACGTGGTGCGGCATGGGTGTGATGTGGTGCGGCATGGGTGTGACGTGGTGCGGCATGGGTGTGACGTGGTGCGGCATGGGTGTGACGTGGTGCGGCATTGGTGTGGTGTGCTGCGGCGAACAAGTGTGTGGAGAGCAAGCGTGGGGGAGACTGGAAGGCAGCAAGGGAGCAGGGCTGATTCGCAAGTGAGCGTGGAGAGCACACCACACCAATGGCTGGTGCAGCACTCTTCATCTGTCAGGATGTGAAGACCCTCTGCGCCCATGGCTGGTGCAGCACTCTTTATCGGTCAGGATGTGAAGACCCTCTGCGCCCATGGCTGGTGCAGCACTCTTTATCTGTCAGGATGTGAAGACCCTCTGCGCCCATGGCTGGTGCAGCACTCTTTATCTGTCAGGATGTGAAGACCCTCTGCGCCCATGGCTGGTGCAGCACTCTTTATCTGTCAGGATGTGAAGACCCTCTGCGCCCATGGCTGGTGCAGCACTCTTTATCTGTCAGGATGTGAAGACCCTCTGCGCCCATGGCTGGTGCAGCACTCTTTATCTGTCAGGATGTGAAGACCCTCTGCGCCCATGGCTGGTGCAGCACTCTTTATCTGTCAGGATGTGAAGACCCTCTGTGCCCATGGCTGGTGCAGCACTCTTTATCTGTCAGGATGTGAAGACCCTCTGCGCCCATGGCTGGTGCAGCACTCTTTATCTGTCAGGATGTGAAGACCCTCTGCGCCCATGGCTGGTGCAGCACTCTTTATCGGTCAGGATGTGAAGACCCTCTGCGCCCATGGCTGGTGCTGCATGTGCTGCGTGTGCTGCATGTGGTGCATGTGGTGCATGTGGTGCATGTGGTGCATGTGGTGCGTGTGGTGCGTATGGTGCATGTGCTGTATGTGGTGCGTGTGGTGCATGTGGTGCGTGTGATGCATGTGATGTATGTGGTGCGTGTGGTGCGTGTGGTGCATGTGGTGCATGTGGTGCGTGTGGTGCGTATGGTGCATGTGCTGCATGTGGTGCGTGTGGTGCATGTGGTGCCTGTGGTGCATGTGGTGCGTGTGGTGCGTGTGGTGCATGTGGTGCATGTGGTGCATGTGGTGTATGTGGTGCATGTGGTGCGTGTGGTGCATGTGGTGCATGTGGTGCATGTGGTGTATGTGGTGCATGTGGTGCTTGTGGTGCATGTGGTGCTTGTGGTGCATGTGGTGCAAGTAGTGCAGGTATTGGTGGCAGAGCCTTGTCGGCTGCGGCGCAATCTGCACATGTTCTTCCTCCAGCAGAAACTCAAGTCCGTCCGGGTTAGTGGCCTGGTCACTTGCGCACATATGCAAGTACACACGTACACATACCCACGGAACACATGCAACATGCACATGCACTGCAGGACACACATGCACTGCAGCACACACGCAGCCCATACAAGTCACACACTTTGCACAATCACATTCACGCCGAGGAAGCAAGGGGGCACAAGTTGATGCATTCTGTGTCTCATCGTCTCACATCCACATAGTTGGGACTAGATCCAAGTCTACGTAGGACCGCGTCCACTATGAGAGCCAATTTTGCTGTCAGCATTCCCAGCAGAATCGTTTCCTCCATACAGTATCACCCCTCCTTCACCCCTCCTTACAGTATCACCCCTCCTTACAGTATCACCTCTCCTTACAGTATCACCCCTCCTTACAGTATCACCCCTCCTTACAGTATCACCCCTCCTTCACCGGACCAAGAAACACTGCATGCTGCTGATCCTCCTACCATTTCCCATGTTGCCTGCTGTCCAACCGTGCCCCTCCCTCTCTCCCCCTCGCCCCAGGTGCTCGTTATAGTCACACCGGAGGGTGAGAGCAACAGCAAGCTCAATTCCCTGCAGCACATCATCGCTTTCCTTCCCTCTGACTGCCAAACCTTGATCATCTGCCAGCGCCTCTCCCCCCAGGTGCAGTGCCACATACCTTTGCCATGCCGTGCCATGCTGCTATACTGTGATGTCTTGTAATGTGCTGTGCTGTGCACACCTTCCTATGTCTGTTCTCTTCCACTGGTACCACCACGCCATACTGCTAGATATTAGCCTGCGAGGGTAGGGTTTTTTGGGTGTAGAGTTCGGTTAACCATCTTTGGACAATGTGTCTCAACCCATTTGCTGATCGAAGGGTTTTAAGGGTTGAGCCAGTCCATCTTGGCTAACGGCTCTCTTCTTCCCTTCCAGTGCCCTTTTTTTTTGTAATCCCATGTGTTTACCCTCATGGCTCCACTCAGGAGTATTGATTCAAGGTGATCATTATTCTTTGTATCTATACATACATACCCACCGCAAAACCCTCAGCTCCCATCAATCCTTCAACCTCCCTTCCCTCCGCCTGCCTGCAGGTGCATGCCATGGCGTCTCAAGCCCTCCAGTCGGACTATGTGTGCTTAGATCTTGCCAACAGTACTGCTGAGACGGATGCACGACACGTGAACAGTGAATCTCCAGACGAATGCCCAGCCATGTGCAATGAAGGTGATGCGGAGGAGGATGATGGTAATGCTGATGACCATTCGAATGCTCGTCATGCCCATGGAGGATGCGGACTGGATGCTGGAGGTGGGGATGCAGGGCGCATTGAAAATGGTGGCAGTAGTGGCAGCAGTGGCAGCAGCAGCCACGGTGTTAGTGGTGCTAGAAGTGACAGCAGTGGGAGCAGTGATGGTCACAATAGTGATAGTGGTGGCAGTAGTGGCAGTACTAGCATTAGTGAGATCAGTGATGGCGTTAGTGCCGGCAGTGGTAGCAGTGGCGGTGGTGTAGCAAGTGAATGGGGCACAGACAAGGTAAATGGGGAAATGAAGACTAGCCTCAAGGTTGGGAGTAATACAGCAGCAGCAGCAGCAGCAGGGCGTGCAGCAGGGGAAGGCAGTATGGCAGGGCAAGGAACAGCGCATGGGACAGCAGGAGAGAGCGGGGAAGGTAACAGCAGCAGCAGCAGCAGCGGTGTGAGTGTGAAGGCGCTAATTGGCTTCTTTGGCGTCGATGCATGCGCTGCTGTGGAGCTGGCTGCCCTTCCACACATCCTTGCTGGTGAGAGGCATGACTGTAGCGACACATGCAAGCATGCTTGTAGGGGCCCATGCGAGCATGCTTGCAGGCGCACATGCGAGCATGCTTGCAGGCGCACATGTGAGCATGCTTGCAGGCACATGTATGTGCATGCATGCATGCATGCTTGTAGCAGAGTGCATGCTTGCAGAGGCATTTGTGCATTCTTGAAGGGGCATGTAGGATAAGTGCCATATAGCCGCCCCCTCTCCCTCCCTCTCTTGCCTTCTCTCACTCTCTCCACCCACCCGTCTCTTCCACTTTTGACCGCGTCCAACCCCCCTGTACCTTCCCTGCCAGGTTCCGATGTGCTCATAAGGACCACTGGCAACACCAACAAGGCTGCCTTCTTCCTGGTGTGTGCTGCTGAGCATGAGTAGTCGTCTTTGTTGCTCGTTCTCTTTTAAGCCCAGATCCCAAATCACTCTGCGGAAGTCAACGGGCAGTAATAGGGTTGGACACCTGGGAAAAAAGTCCCGACTATTGGGTGCAAAATGTGCGACAAGGTACTTGGTGAGCAGATTTCATGACAAAGTGGAGTGGAGTTTGGGAGGAAGATCTGACGGCTGGGACCAGGTGACATAAGAGTCCCAAACTGCAAACGTCTTTACAGCCCTATATCAGAAAAAACGAGTGCTCCTCTCAACTCTGTGGCGAAGTCAGGGTTGGGGCGCTGTTCCAGGGGTATAAACAGATTCGGTTTGAGTCAACCTGGGCCCAAACAGATTCGGTTCGGTACAGGAGCTGTTCTTCAGGAACTGGGTCTTGTCGGTGTCACCGTGCATTGTATCCTTCGTTCTTGTTTTTTGAATTCCTCAACGTGCCATTCACACTCACCAAGAGGCGCATCTTTACACTTCTTGCACTCTCTCATCCCTCTCCCATTCCTCTCCCCTATTTCCCCGCCACCAGCTGCCACACCTTTACACCCTTCTGCACCGCACAGCACCGCTTCTTCCAGCAATTGGCACCCCTGTCGAGATCCTATTTCTCTCTGTCTCACGTGTGTGCTCTCAATTCGTAGCTCAAGTGAGGCAGCTTATAGCGAAGCAGCCTAAAGTTCAGCATACAGGCATGCATAGATCGACTGTAGGGCGAGCAGTGCAGGTGGAAGCACGTGAGGACGCGTCAGAGCAAGATGGGCGGGGGGAATGCCGGGGAGTGGCACAGTCAACAAGGGTGGGAGCTCAGCTGCTGTGCATGCGCAAGGGAGGGAAAAACTTCAAGGCCCTTTTATGCCAGGTGAGTTGCAGTCATGCCATGCCATGCCATGCCATGCCAGGTGAGTTGGAGACATGCCATGCCATGCCATGCCAGGTGAGTTAGAGACATGCCATGCCATGCCACGTGAGTTATAGACATGCCATGCCATGCCAGGTGAGTTAGAGACATGCCATGCCATGCCACGTGAGTTATAGACATGCCATGCCATGCCAGGTGAGTTAGAGACATGCCATGCCATGCCACGTGAGTTAGAGACATGCCATGCCATGCCACGTGAGTTAGAGACATGCCATGCCATGCCACGTGAGTTAGAGACATGCCATTCCGTGTCTTCCATGCCTGACCAAGGGAAACCAGTCTTGCTTGCTCACCACATTCTGGTGGTCTGGGGGCTGACACCCTGGCATGACGACTCATTGCCGTGCGATGCTAGTGCTGGAACCAGCACACATCTCCAGTACACGTGTGGCCATGGCATTGCGCCAGCATCGCCGACATGGCATCACCACCAGAGCATCACCGCCAGAGCATCGCCACCAGAGCATCACTGCAGGTTGATGGCGTTTTTGGTCGTCTGGCACCATCGCACAAATTTGTGCATCTGCCGTGCAACGTTGTGCTTCTGCCGTGCATCGTTGTGCCTCTGCAGTGCAACGTTGTGCCTCTGCCGTGCAACGTTGTGCCTCTGCCATGCAACGTTGTGCCTCTGCCATGCAACGTTGTGCCTCTGCCGTGCAACGTTGTGCCTCTGCCTGCAACGTTGTGCCTCTGCCGTGCACCGTTGTGCCTCTGCCGTGCAACGTTGTGCCTCTGCCGTGAAACGTTGTGCCTCTGCCGTGCAATGTTGCGCCTCCGCCGTGCAATGTTGCGCCTCTGCCGTGCAACGTTGTGCCTCTGCCATGCAACGTTGAGCCTCTGCCGTGCAACGTTGTGCCTCTGCCGTGCAATGTTGCGCCTCTGCCGTGCAACGTTGTGCCTCTGCCGTGCAGCGTTGTGCCTCTGCCGTGCAACGTTGCGCCTCTGCCGTGCAACGTTGCGCCTCTGCCGTGAAACGTTGCGCCTCTGCCGTGCAACGTTGTGCCTCTACCGTGCACCGTTGTGCCTCTGCCGTGCAACGTTGTGCCTCTGCCATGAAACGTTGTGCCTCTGCCGTGCAACGTTGCGCCTCTGCCGTACAACGTTGTGCCTCTGCCGTGCAACGTTGTGCCTCGGCCGTGCAACGTTGCGCCTCTGCCGTGCAACGTTGTGCCTCTGCCGTGCAATGTTGTGCCTCTGCCGTGCAACGTTGTGCCTCTACCGTGCAACGTTGTGCCTCTGCCGTGCAACGTTGCGCCTCTGCCGTGCAACGTTGTGCCTCTGCCGTGCAACGTTGTGCCTCTGCTGTGCAACGTTGCGCCTCTGCCGTGCAACGTTGTGCCTCTGCCGTGCATCTTTGTGCCTCTGCCGTGCAACATTGCGTTTCTGCCGTGCACGTTGCCCGACCATTTCTTGTACATTGGACCATGCCATGCAATGGCGCAGAATGTGATGTTCTTGTGTTCTCATGCCATGCCAGGTCTTGGCATGCCCGTATCAGAGCATATGTGAGCATCTGCAACAGCATGTGTACTTTAGAAGCAAGCTGCAGCAAGTCAAGGTAAGTTTAATGGGTTCAGGATAAGTCAGTGGGTTCAGGGTAGGTCAATGATTTTGGTTTGGATAAGTCAATGGGTTCAGTCAGTCGGCATTTGACAAAAAATTCAGTCTGCTGGACAGAACTTTTTTGGTGAAGGGAGCAAAGGCATTTCTGACCTTGCTGAATTTCATTGTTTTCGCCTAACATCACTTCCACAAGGGCAGCCCCTTGTGTATGTCATCCCTGCTTTCCGTCAGCACTAATTCGGTTTGTGTCTTCGCTGCTCGCTGCTCACACACCACCTGCTCTCACCACTTGCTCTCACCACTTGCTCTCACCACTTGCTCTCACCACTTGCTCTCACCACTTGCTCTCACCACGTGCTCTCACCACTTGCTCTCACCACTTGCTCTCACCACTTGCTCTCACCACTTGCTCTCACCACTTGCTCTCACCACTTGCTCTCACCACTTGCTCTCACCACTTGCTTTCACCACTTGCTCTCACCACGTGCTCTCACCACTTGCTCTCACCACTTGCTCTCACCACTTGCTCTCACCACTTGCTCTCACCACTTGCTCTCACCACTTGCTCTCACCACTTGCTCTCACCACTTGCTCTCACCACTTGCTCTCACTACTTGCTCTCACCACTTGCTCTCACCACTTGCTCTCACCACTTGCTCTCACCACCTGCTCTCACCACGTGCTCTCATCACCTGCTCTTGGCACCGCAGGTGGTGGTGCTGAACGAACCTGAGATGATCTCAATGGGGGTCATGGATCACATCTTGAGCTACCTGCCAGCTCACCGGCAGACCATCATTCTCACTGCCAATACCACACGTAAGGTCAGCCCGTATCACATTTAAGTTGGGCGTGCTCTGTCACACGGAAGGGTCACGGCATGCCAAACCTTTGCATACGTCCTGGTCACACCCCTGCTGTGCACCCTTTCCTGTGCACTGATTTTTTTTAGCATGGTGTATGCACGTTGCACGTTGCACGTTGCTCATGAATGTGTTTGCAGGTCCAGCTGATGGCCGATCGCATACTAGCGAAGGACTACGCATTTGTGGATCTCCTGTCTGCCCACCTTAACGGTTCAACCCATGGATCGAAGGCCCGTGCAGCAACCGTGGAAGAGAATGATCAGGAGACACTGTGAAGCTGTAGCACCTAGGTGGGGTTGTTTCTAGCACCTAGCTTTACCAACAACCTTGGACTGGAAAATCAGGGAAGCAGAAAATGGGTCTGTAGACCACTCCAATAGAGAGCCCTTCGTAGTGAACAATTGCAGCCTTTCATTGAAGAGCAACACAAGACAGAAGCATGAATTACACAACCAGTCAATGCATGGCCCACCTCAATGCCAGCAGCATCCTCGCACCTTCACAAGCTCTAGAAATCACGCAAGTGGACTCTCACAATGATCTGAACGCCACTGCAACATGGGCACGGGGGGGACCTTCATGCATGTGTGCAGGATCTAAACATGCATGAGAGTCAAGCATCCAGACAAGGACTCTGGAATCTTCTTGATTTTGCTGCATTACCTCACGCATAGCCGCTCCAGTCTTGGGAGCCAGCCGATTTCTTCAGGCAAACCCTGCAGCTCACGGCAAGAGAGCAGCTGGAGCTGCTTGAGACTGCGGAGGAGGGAGATGGAGAAGGGAAGCTGCCTGATTGCAGGGCACTGTTGAAGGACCAACTCCTCAAGCACTGGCAAGCAGCCAATGCTGCTGGGGAGGGCAGCAAGCCGTTCACACTTGATGATGGCTAGCTTCTTGAGGTGTGGCAGGAGTGGGAGGTCGTCTGGCAGCCAAGAGAGCAACGGGCGGTCATTCAACTCCAGCAGCTCGTGTGCTCGTCACGTGCTGACGGTTGAGGGCACGGAGGAGATTTTGGTGGCCTGGCGGACAACAAGCGTGTGAAGGTCAGGTGTGAGTGCAGGAAGGGCGGAAGGAATCTTCGTCAAATAGCTGCATTTGAGCAGGTGCAACTCATGGAGTGGCAGGTGGTGTGTGCTACTCTCGGCTTATGTGGTGCTGCCTTCGCTGCTGCTCACTAAAGGTTGCTTCATTCCCTTCTCAGCGTCCTCTGCCTAAAGCAGTGCAGCCATTCCCCCGCAGTCAGATATGACCAGCTTCTCAAGCAGCCCTGGCTGCTGCCACTGCTGCTTGCATTACCATCAGAAACCACACTTAGGTCCCATTGCACACCCCACGTCGAAGAGTGCACACTGTATGGGCGTCAATTCGGCGCAATTGCTCACTTCCATCTCCTTCAGGCTCGGCAGCAGACCAAGCCAAGCAGGGAGGCTTCTGAGCTCATGAAACCTAGAATCGCAAGTCGCTTGAGCGAGGTGAAGCAGGAGAGGGAAGTGGGAATGGGAAGAGTCTTTGTCTGGCAATCAAAGTGCAGTATCAGCTGGTGGAGGGAGGAGAGGCCACACATCGCGAAAAGTTTGGTGCTGAAACCTGCCTGAAATTTGCTTCAAAGCTGGTTTCAGGTAGCTTTTCGTTTCTAGAGAACAAATAGCTTCCAGGCGATGGGTTAAGCTGTGTAAAAGCACACCTATTTGGGTATAGTTGTCGAGAGACCCACTAGGGTTGCCCTTGAGATCCTCGGGATAGGGCTACACACCTCTCTGCCTGGGGGGTTGTGGGCGCACTAACTCGTTGCGTAACACACCCTTTTAGCTCAGTGGTTAGTGACTGGGTTCTGAGATGGTATCAGAGCCGGATGACTCGGGTTCAATTCCCAGTGCCGGCGCTGCAGAGGCGCTTGTGTCCTCCGCCTATCCCAGCAAGGGGGGGTGTCGAGAGACCCGGTGGGGTTGCCCTTGAGATCCTCAAGGAAAGGCTACAAACCTCTATGCCTGGGGGGTTCTGCTGCACCATATGGGACTGGGAGAGTGTGATCGTGCGAGGTACACGATCATAAGAAATCTCCAAGCCCAGATATCGCCTCAGCCTCCCCAGGATTTTAGTCTCCAGTTCTCCTCTGCACAGCCCACCCCTCTGCCTGTAGATCACAAGCTCTCTGTTCTTGTTCCGCCTGAACCGGTCGAGCCTAGTGGCCCATACGCAAAGCCGGTGGGTTGCCTCATGTGCCAGATGATGTGCACTCGACCAGATCTAGAATACCCTCTTATTCTCCTTGCTCACTTTGTGGCGACAGGCACACCAACCAATCCATTGGGCGGCTGCGAAGAAGGTATTGCGGTATCTAGCAAGTACATCAGAACTGGGGCTTGTACTAGGAGAACGGGAGCCTATGGTGCTCACTGGACACATAAACACATCGTGGGCTGACGACTTGGAGGAACTCGGGTCCTCACAGGGTTACTGTTTTAGTCTTGGGTCTGGTGCAGTCTCGTGGAGGTCCACTATGTTGTCGTCAGTAGCTCAGTCCAGTTGTGAGACAGAGATCTACGCTGGGGTCATGGCCGCTCAGGAGCTCTGTTGGCTGTCGTTCTTACTCACTAACTTAGGTGAGCAGCCTGGGTCTGTCCCGGTCGTGTTTGCTGACAACAGGGCTATGATCCTCTTGTGTGAGGAGACTCAATTTGAGGGCAGGGCGAAGCACATCCAGCTGCAGTACTTCCTGCTGCGTGAGTTGCGGCAGTGCGGTCAGGCTCGTGTAGTATAGGTGGCCTCAGAGGCCAACACCGGTGATATCTTCACCAAGGCACTACCGCCTCGTGACCATCAGCTGTTCTGTACCCAGCTTGGTTTAGTCTCAGTAGCAGCACCGCTCCTTGTATCATGATAAATACTATACATGCTTGTACTTGCTATGCTATATCTGCCTGTCTTACGACACTTGCTGACTGACCTTGTGGCTTCTTGTCTCAGTGGTAAGTGACTAAGTTCTGAGAATAGTTCCAAAAAGCTTTATGACTGCCATTAGGTAACATCGTGCCTAACTTTCCAAGCTATGAGGAAGTTCATTAGGTGATAACGAGCTTCTTCCAAGCAGCTTCTTAGGCATTTAAATGCATCTATTTACGCAAATAGGGCCCCTTCTGCAGCACCAGAATTCACCCCAAAAGCACCAAAAGTAATATTCATGTAAGACTGGGAACACATGACATAAAAGGGAAGGGCACAACTCTGCACCTCCACCCAGTACCCTGGCAATCAGGCCTTGAGATATCAGCCTTTTTTGGCTAATTTGGGTTTCGGGTTCAAGCATATCTTGGCATTATGGCATGCAAATGAGGCAACGGATTTTTAGAGACCTGTTGTGAAATAAGTCGCAATGGGCAGTTTGCAAACACCGGAAAATCAGACAACAGAAAAAACAGCGATTGAAATTAAGTTAACAAGGGCTTTAAGGTTGATATCTCAGGGCCTGCTGGCAATCGCCTGATGCCCGTCTGCCTACGCGCTAGATCTTGGCAGCCGCTCTAAAAATTTTGGAAACACTGATGGTCACAACAACTAGAAGAAAGTGTTAGAATACGATAATGATATACTAGGAAGAGAAACCTAGAACATATACCTGTTGGGTTGTACTCACTAGAAGCACACACCTAGTCTAGCCTATAACTTCTACATAGAACATATGTATAAGTTGACACACCCCCTAGGCTAGATAAGGGGTGGAGCTAAGCAACAAGCACAGAGCTCAGGGTGGCACTACTAGTCCAACCACTGAGGCAGGGGTCCGGAGACCAGTCAGCAAGAGTACAAACAAGACTAAAGCAAGCCAGGGTGGCACTACTAGTCCAGCCACTGGAGGTAAGGCAACAAGGCCAGTCAGACAGGTATAAATAGTAGAGAGTACACAATCAGGGTCCTAACAAGTGAGAAGTGACAGGAACAAGACCAAGCTCGACACAGTGCCGCTGATGATCTTTAGGCACAAGCGCCTTAATAAAGATATCAGCAGTGTTGGCACCAGAGGCCAAGTGAACTACGCGGGCCTGGCGACGCTGCTGTAGCTCGCGCAGGAGGAAGTACCGCAGCTGGATATGCTTCGCTCTGCCCTCAAGCCGAGGCTCCTGACACAGGAGAATCATGGCCCTGTTGTCAGCGTACAGGACCGGGGCAGAGCTAGGCCGCTCACCTAAGTCTGTGAGCAAGAAGGTAAGCCAACGGAGCTCCTGTGCCACCATGGCACCAGCATAGATCTCAGCCTCACAGCTAGACTGAGCAACAGACGATGAGCTAGTGGATCTCCAAGAGATAGCACCCGAACCAAGACAAAAACAGTAACCCTGAGACGACCTGAGAGTCTCTAAGTCGTCTACCCAAGAAGCGTCGGTGTGCGCAATAAGGACCACTGGCCTGCGTCCTCCTAGCACTAACCCCATGCCCGATGTACTTGCGAGATAACGCAAAACCCTCTTAGCAGCAGACCAGTGCTGAGGTCGGTGTTTGCCTGTAGCCACAAAGCGAGCCAGGATGCTGAGAGGGTATGCGAGATCTGGGCGAGTGCAAGTCATCAGGTACATAAGGCAACCCACCAGCTCTGCGTAGGGGCCACTGGGCTCTACTGGCTCCTGAGGAACGGGAGCAGAGAGCATATGGTCTACAAGTAGAGGTGTGGGCTGTGCGGAAGAGAACTGAAGACCGAACCTCTGAAGGACCTGACGCACCAAGTGTGACTGTGTCAGAGTGATGGTGCGTGCTGCTCTGTCTCTGGAGATCTGCAAGCCAAGATAGCGATGGAGCTCTCCAAGGTCAGTGCAGGTGTGTCTCTTCAGCAGCTCGGCCTTCACGGAGGCCAGTGCATCCCTATCAGCAGTAGCGAAGACCAGGTCGTCTACGTAGACAAGGATGTAGAACGGAGTCTGGCCGGAACGCACAAACAGCGAGGGGTCAGCAGAGGACGGA